GGCCATGCCACAGTCTCTTCTCCATTCTCCTCTCCGGATTTTGGGCACTCACACATACACAGAAACACAGACACGGACACACACACACACACACACATGTATACCCCGGTATGAGGTATTTTTTTTTTCTTAAGAATTATTTTATTTAACTTTATTTATTTATTTGCTTATTTAATTTGACCAGAGAGGGACAGAGCGAGAACGGGAAAGAGAGAAAGTGAGAAAGCAAACCACCAAGTCCAGGACTAGAACCATAGTCAGACATGTGGGAGTCTAGCACCCTTAACAACCATGCCACCACGTCCAGGACTAGAACCACAGTCGGACATATGGGATTCTAGTGCCCTTAACTACCATGCCACCTGCTAGCCCCTGGTGTGAGTTTTAAGGCACTAGGTATGCAACTTGAACCTCAATTCACTACGTGGGAGTCAAGCGATATTGACCATTATGCCATCTGCTGCTCCCAACAAAGACATTCTTTTTAAAACAATGATCAAAATCAGGAAATAAACATTGAAATGGTACTACTATATTGACTCTATAGATCTTATTCAATTTGTACCAATTTTTCCTAATAGTATTTTTTAAAAGAATCATTTAATTTTATTTATTATTATTTTTCAATTCACCAAAGAGAGACAGAGAGAGAGGGAAAGTGAGAAAGCAAGCCGCCGAGTCCAGAACTTGAACTGTGGTTAGCCATGTGGGAGTTCAGAACTTTAACCACCAAGCCACCTGCTGTGTAGAATCCAATCCAGGATCATACTTTGCATTATGATATCATGTCTCTCTAGTCTTCTTAATTTGGAATGGTCTCTCAGTCTTTGCTTGTCCTTTACGACCTTGAACTTTTTGGATAGTGCAAGTATGTTATAGAATGTCTTACAATTTGGGTTTCTCTAATGTTTCCTCATGGTTATGTTCAGGTTATGTGATTTCGGGAGGGTCTCGGGGCCATCCAATACTGTGCCGAAGGAAGACCAAATGGGTGGGTTAGGAACCAGAGTAGCAATTTCAGTCAAGCCGTAGTAAGACAGAAACAGCTATCTCCAGGGGCAGACCCAGTGCACTGGTTCATTTTATGTCCTACTTTACAGAATACTTTTAGGTGCTGACACTTGTCCTTGCTTCTGGGCCCAGCTCTCATGTGGACTTGGTCTCCCTTTCCTAAGAGCTTGCTGCCATCCCGGTGCCCAAGGCTTCCCTTGGGGCCCACAACAGTCATAGTTCTAACCCTTTGCCCCTGCAGCTCAGCTGTCCTCTCCTGAGGATCAGGACGACCAAGATGACATCAAGGTGTCTTCCTTCGTCCCAGACCTAAAAGAACTGCTTCCCAGCGTGAAAGTCTGGTCTGACTGGATGCTCGGCTACCCAGACACCTGGAATCCTCCACCCACGTCTCTGGATTTGCCCTCGCAGTGAGTCGGCCTGCCCACTGCTTCGGCACTGCTGGCCTTGCCTGCCTGTGTCTCCGCAGCTCCCCCCCTCCTCCTGTCCTTTGTTTCCTCCAGTCCGCAGCGTACTTGTTTCTCTGTTTTCTCGTCATTTGAATTTTGATTTTTTTCCTTTCCTTGAGCACCTTTTTTAAATCTTCTGATGTTTTAGCTTACTGTTGTCTGTTCTCCAGTCCTGTTCCTCTTCTTTTCCCATGTTCTCTAACTCTGTAGCTTGCTCTGTGTTTTGTGTTCAGTCCTGGCTTTTACTCTCTCATTCTTCATTTCATTCTGTTCATACTGTCTCTGTAGCTGCCTCTGGAGTGTGGATGAATGTTGATGTGTGTGAGAGATACTTTATCTCTGTCTCTTTCTCTCTCTGAGTTTTTCTGTGTGTATCTTTTGGGCTACTTGTGCTGTCCTGTGTGCTTTTGTCTCTGTGCCTCCTCTCCTGGCACTGTGGTGTGTGGGGAGGGTGTGTGTGTGTGCATGTCTCTCTTCCATTTACTCATTGCCTCTCTCTTCACCGTTCCCCGACCTGTCTCCTGTCCCTGTGTGTCAGTGTGGTGATCAGAGCATTTTTTGGTGTAGGGTGTGTTAGTCTGGGAGTATTTGTGTCTGCCAGGGCATGACTATGTGGATCTTTATGTTTGTATGACACTTTTTCTTTCTTTTTAAAAATTATGGTAAAATATATACAACAAAATTTGCCATCTTACTCATTTTCAAGTTTATAGTTCAGTAGCACAAATTCAAATTACATTCACAATGTTGTGCAACCTTTGTGGGGCCATATCTTTTGTCTGTATCTGTGTCTGGGTTGCATCTGACTCTGCCATCTGGGTTTGTTTGTGTGTCTGTGGTTTGTATTTGTCTATCTGTGTCTGAATGTACAGGTCTTTGTATGTCTGCCTCTAGGGGTTTGTCTACATAGGGGTCTTTTGGTATGTCTACCCAGGTCTGTCTGTGTATGTATTTGTCTATGTGTATCCATCTATGGCTGTGTGTATTGTATCTGTACATGCTCCTGGGATAGGTCTATCTGTGCCTGTGCACGTTTCCTTTCAGGAGTAACTGGGTTTCTTTGGGTGGGGTAAGGTGGCCCTCTAGGGGCCTGGGGGTCTGTTTCAGTGTGTCCCTGTGTCTCTGTGTCTCTGTGTCCATATCTATGTCTGTGTCTGTGCCTGGGTCCATGCCAGTCTGTGTCTCCTCTGGTGCCATCTGTGGCTATGTGTGCCTATGTCCTGTGAGCGTGTTTTCATTTGTTCCTGAATGTCCATGTTGGTCCGTAAGTATGTCTGGGTTGGTCTGTAATTGTCTCAGCGTGCCAGGTTGGATCTCTGTTGGAGGGGAATTCTGTGTGTGTGGGTCTGTGTCTGCCTTCCTCACCTGTCTGTTTCTGTCTTCCCATTTGCTTGCCACTGTTGTCTGCCTCAGCTGTGTGTGTGTGTGTGTGTGTGTGTGTGTGTGTGCATGTGTCTGTGTAACAGGTCAGCAAACTATGGCTTACAAGTTACGAATGGTTTACATTTTTAAATGGTTCACAAAAGTCAAATGAATACTACTTGACAACTCATGAAAACTGTCTGAAAGTTGGTTTCAGTGTCCATAAAGTTGTATTGGATCTCAGCCATGCTTATTTGTTTACACCCTGTCTGTGACTGCTTTCATACCACAGCAACAGAATTGAGTCATTGTCATAGAGACTGCATGGCTCTCAAAGTCTAACATGCATGTTTTCTATCTAGCCCATTATAGAAAAAGCTTGCTGACTCCTGGTCTCTCTCCATGTTCCCATGAGTCCCATTCTTCTCTGTGCTAGTGTCACTACGCATGTTCATATTTGTACAGTAGTGCCTTTGTGTGTACACATAGGCTCTGTCTGTGAAACTCTGTTGCCGTTCCATCTCTCTTCCTCCTGCTTTCTTTCCCTCTCCTTACCTATCTTTCTCTCTCTCTCTCAGCATCTTAATTCTGTTTTCCCTCATGCACCTCTGTTTCTCCTCTCTTTCCTCCCTTTTTTCTCCCATCCCATTCTCTCACAGGACACAGGCATTGTTGTCTCTGGCAGGTATGCACTCATAGCTCCCTAGGCTCTGTGCTGTGTGTTCACGTATGTTCCAGAACAAGCATCCTACCCAGTAGCTCATTGTTCATCTCCGGTGCTCTTCTCTGGAAGGGGAAAATATTGGAGGACAGAGTATGGAGAGCTTGGCTACTGCCAGGAGGCAGAGAGAAGCACAGAGAAGTTTCTCTCTGTGTTGTGGCCTAGCCATGTGAGCCTCCTAATGGGTAACCCACAGAGGGAAGTCTTCTGGTCAGCAGTTACTGATCTTTCAGTATGGACTGTGCTGCAATCTGGACCTCCCCCAACTCCCCGCCACTTACTTCCAAATGTATTCCTTATTCCTTGTCTTTTTTTTTTTTTTTAAGAGAGATTTTTGCTACAGGGCATATGTGCTCACCAGAGAGACAGAAAGCGAGAACCCCCCCCCCCGGAGTTGGGGGGGATAGACATTCTCCTCTTAGAATCTTGGGCGTGCATGCACACGCACCCAGCATAAGTTTTAAGTCACCAGGTCCAGGACTTGAACTGCAGTCGACTACATGGGAGGCTAGTGACATAACCATTGTACCATCTGCTGGTTCTTCCTTATTCCTCATCTTAAACTCCCTAGACTGTTAGTCTCACTCTCCCATGCCCTCACCAGCTCTAGCTCTGCATTTGGGTGAATGATGTGCTCAGCATCCTTCCTGTGAGCCCTCTTAGGTTTCCAGCATGTACTCCAGGCTGAGGCCTCATGAGCCAGGGTTGAACCCTGAGCTGGGCAGCTGGAGCTCCACAAAGGACCCGATAGACCTTCTGGCTGGGAGGTTAGTTGTTTCTGAGCAATGCACCCCAAAGAGTTAACATGCACAGCCTCAAACTTTTCAGACTGTTCACTTAAATTGTTGAGTAGGCAATTGAGTTTTGGAAGGAAAAGGTTAAGAATAGGCTCAGCACTGTGTCTAAGTGACTGCTTCTGAGCATGCATAGGGGTCACCGATTGTTCCTTCTGTCAGCTCAGGGGTGGGGAGGCAGACCATCTGTCCCTGGATTCAAGTCTTCCTGGGGTCACCTCACCCCACAAGCACAAGTTCCTTAGATAATACCCACCCAACCCATATGCACCCACATCCTGGTCCATAAGCTCTATTAGCTCTCTTCTGCAGCACATTCCGTCATCCCTTCTCCCTCTTGTTCCCTTTGGCTTTTGTTTGGCTGGGGAAATGGAACGCTCACACAGGAAGTCCTGGGCCTCATTTGCTTGAGGTGCTGAGTCTGTTTTCTCTTTGGATGTTGCAGCAAATGGCCCGTTGCCGGGTCTGTGAGCTGCTGCCCATCTTTGGGCAAGGGCTCAATCTGCAGCTGGGCACGTGGTCCAGGCTCCAGCCATCCTCAGCTGGGCTTCACATCCTGGGCTACAGAGAAGCTGAGGGGGTTGGGACACTTGAATCATATTTACTCAGTATTTTCAGACGTTCCTTCACAGGGAGAGCAAATCTGACCAAATGATATATTGAATCTAATTGCACAGTAAATAGAGGTTTCTGTCGCTGGGACACCACTCACCCTCCTGTGATTCTAGTCAATGCTAGAGAAGTCAGTGTGATAGAGAATAAAGTCCCCTTCTGCACTGTGTTTCTGTAGTTAGGATCAGCAGCTGGTTGTCTCTGGAATGCAAGTTTAAGTATAAAGGATGAGCTTTGCACTCGTCAGGACAAATCTCAAGGCATGGTTGTTTAAGGACCAGTGCCACGGGACCAGAGTTGGTGTAATGGTTGTGTTGCTGGACTCCTATATAGTCAACCATGGTTCCAGTCCCAGACCCGGTAGCTTAAACTCACGCCAGGCACGTGTGTGTGCGTGCATGCCCAAGATCCCGAGAAGAGAATGGAGGAGAAGGGATTACAATGTGGCCATCCCCCCTGGGGGTTGATTTCCCGCTTTCTGCCTCTGTCTGTCTCTGTCTTTCTGGTGAGTGCACACGTGCCCTATAGCAAAAACCTCTCAAGAAAAAAAGGACCAGTGCCACTATTAAACAGAGCAAACCCGGCCTAACTACAACTTCTTGGCCTTCAGATCTGGAAAATAGTATAAGAATTTTATCTCCTTCCTTTCTAGTTTCTTGTATAGTTCCCTAATACTCATTGAATAAGTACAGGTTGAGAGGTTGGCAAGGTGTAGTGATTCTTTGGATTTTAAACTTGTATCTTATGCCCACTAATCTTCCATACTGTGGAACCTTTTCTCTTAAAGCCATAGGGAACAGCATGTCCCAAATGATTCTGATGTCAGAACATTAAGTCCCCTGACACTCATAAGGTCCTCATTGCTAATCTTCATTTCGGAGGGTTTAGGAATGCTCTCAAGAGGAGGAAGGAAATAGCTTCTACTTAATGCCTCTCCTTTGCATGCTTTCATTGCTCTTTGCCTGCATTTGCTCTTTGCAAAGGCAAACTTCTCTGATCCTAATAAGATAAGGTGACCAGACAGCCTATATTTACATTTGCTTTTCCTCTAGAGAACCACTACCGAGTGGTCCCTCTGACACCTTGGACCCTTACTGCATCTTGCTCCCTTCCTGTCTTTCCTTTGTTCAGTTAGAGAATATTGTACAGTTAGAGAATCATTGCATCGCATCCTCCACTCTTCTAGGGGAATTCCAAAGCTCGTTGTTAGTCTCCTTGATTCTGTCTTCTTTTCCTATGTGCCTCTTCTTTCTAGTCAGACCTGCTTTTCCTAGGCAGTAGGAGGCACATACGGAACACCTAGGATGATGATGACAGAACTTAATTGGCACTGGAGAGTGAAAAGGACAAACCAACAGGGCCGTCATGCCTTCCTCGTGGTGGCACTTAGCAGGTCCGTGGGCTGGAGGCAGCATGGGAAGAAGTTGCCTTCCTATGTGTTCCACTTATGAGTTGTAATTGGATGGCTTTAT